TTTTTTTTTTTGAGTTGGACTCACTCTGTCACCCAGTCTGGAGTACAGTGGCAAGCTCCCAGCCACTGCAGCCTCAACCCGCTGGGCTCAGGTGATCCTCCTGCCTTAGCCTTCCAAGCAACTGGAATTACAGGCATGCACTACCATGCCCAGCTAATTTATTCTTTGATTTATTGTAGAGATGAGGTCTCGCCTAGTCACCCAGGCTGGTCTGGAACCCATGGACTCAGGCAATCCTCTCAGCCTCCCAAAGTGCTGGGATTATGGGCGCGAGCCACCATGCCCAGCTCTAAATTTACTCTTTGGAAACGTTAACAGACATGATTTTCCAGCGAAATGGAAGGCAGAGGTGCAGTGGATAGGCACTTATATAAATAGTGGGAGTTAGAGTGGGGGCTGCTTTCTTAGGACGTGGGCTTCAGGAATACTGTACTGCCAATTGGGCCCCGACTTCCCTGGGTCTTCCTGGGGCGGGTCTCGTTTCTTGCAGCAGCACCCAATCTTGAGCTTGGCCACAGAGGCCCATCCGCTTGGTCTGAAGTCTTATTATCCAGACTCTGATGGGCTTGGGTGGTGGTGGTAGATGTCCTGACGCCAATGCCCCCAGTACCCACCGGGCAGTCAGGCCAGGTTGCATAGGTTGACATCCTTCAGGCCTATGCTTGTCCAGGCCGTGTCCCCTGTGTCTTCAGGAAAGAATGCTGGTGGGTATACCCCAGTGGGGAAAAAAATTTAAGAGAATATCTATATAATATTCTCAGTCTGGGTCAGGCACAGTGACTCACGCCTGTAATCCCAGCATTTTGGGAGGCTAAGGTGGGGGAACCACTTGAACCTCGATGTCTCTGGCTCTACAAGTTTTTTTTTTTGAGTTGGAGTCTCACTCTGTTGCCCAGACTGGAGTGCAGTGGCAAACTCACGACCACCACAGCCTCGACCTTCCGCCTCAGCCTTCCAAGTAGCTAGAACTACAGGTGCGCGCTACCACTCCCGGCTAATTCTTTGATTTATTGTAGAGATGAGATCTCACCAAGTTGCCCAGGTGGGTCTCCAACTCATGGACTCAGGCAATTCACTCACCTCGGCCTCCCAAGGCACAGGATTACAGGCTGAGCCACCGAGCCTGGCTAAAAGTTTTAAAAAGTAGCTGTGTGTGGTAGTACTTGCCAGTAGCTACTTGAGAGGCCGAGGCAGGAGGATTGCTTGAGCCCAGGAGTTCGCGGATGCTGTGAGCTGTGATCAAACCACTGCACTCCAGCCTGGGTTATAGAATGAGACCTCATCTTGTTTAAAAAAAAAATCCTTTCAAGCTGGACTTGGTGGCTCAGCCTGTAATCCCACGCCTTTGGGAGGCTGAGGTGAGTGAATTGCCTGAGCCCGCGGGTTCGAGACCCGCCTGGGCAACGTGGC